GCCGCCGCCGCGCCCCGCCGGGCCGCCCGTCAGTCCGGCAGACAAACAGCGCACTGCGCCTGCGTTTGGATGACCCCGCCGAGCCGCCGTTTCGCCCCGCAGAGCGCATGCCCGCAGTGCGCACCCGCCCTTTCCTCGTGCGAACCTTCGCGCCTGCGTGCCTCTTTTCAGCCAGAGGAATGACGCCGCCTAGAGCTCACGGCGGGCAACGCGCAGAGGCTCCCACCGTGATGCGCATGCGCAAATTCTCGACCGCTAGGGCGAGCGGGGCTGTGTGGAAACCGCAATCGCGGTTCTGCAGAGAGAGGTGGGCGGGGAAAGCGGCGCGCATGAGTAGAGGAGAGGAGACTAGGTCTCGCGCGCGGTGGCGTCTGCTGCTCATGCGCATCTTTGGTTTTTTAACTCGGGCGCTGTCGCGGTTGGTCGCAATGCCTCTGTCCTCAACCTCCTTTTTCGGTTTTTCAGGCTGGGCCTTTTCTGGAAACCACGCCCTCTCAGAATTACCTTTCTTGCCTCGGACGTGCTTCATTAGGATTCTTGTTATGCTTAATTGCTTACTCACCACAATTAGGCATCCTTTCCATCTCTGCAAGCTCAGGGTCAGCCAAGGGCAGGCTGAAGGGTCAGAGTAAGTTTCGGGCCATTATCGGGGCCCTGGGAATCCAGCGGCGTGACCCCTGATCTCGGCGACTGGGCCAAGGTCAAAGCTAGAGCATTTCAGGCCAGATTGGCGTGGGACATTTTAAGACAACCACCGAGCTGTCCTGTCCTCAGAATGTGAGCCCAGCTCCTGGACAATGCAGAAGACTGGCCCTGGGGTTAGGCGCCTCTGTCTGGCGTCCCTGCAGCCTAAATATTCCTTTAACTGATCTGAAGGATGCTGGGAAAATATCCTCGTGTGGAGTCGTGTCCCTGGTCAGCAGCTTGCCTCTGTTCTTAGGTGCCCGGAGGAGGATTGCATTCTGCAGACAGCTGAGAAGTGGCCAAGCCTAGGAGATCAGGGTCAAGTGCCCTGTCCGCTCCTGGTCCAGCCGAGGGGACCTCTGGCGATGACTTACAGGTGGAGCAGATAACAAAAGTATGGAATTAGGATAGGGAAAGTATAAGAAAAGGAGTTCTCCAAGGAAAAAGCTGTTGGAAGATGCCACCTAATTTCTCATTAACTGAGGTCTCCACCTTATCCCCTCTGAGCCCCCTTCTGTGCCTCTGACCTAGGACAGAGACTCATGCCCTTGATTGTGGCACGTGTCGAAATTGGTCTGGTGAAACAGAAGGCTTAGACAATGACAAGTGTGGACATAAAAGATCAGAAGGATAGTTCTGATAATTAGTATTCTTTATTAAGCACCAACTGATATATGCTCCCTCACACAGGGAACATTCAAAAGACAAAGTCCTTGCCTGTCCTCAGAAAAATGTACCCTCCACAGCATGTTTTCTTAACCTCATGTCTGCCATCCTTAGGATGTCCATGAATAGCCCTCTGGGGGAGCTGGGGGAATTTGTTAACTGCCTGAAGTTGTTTGCAGAATTGTGCATGAAAGTGTACACAAGCATTTTCTTGAGGAAGGAGGTGCCCAGCTTTCATCAGATTCTCAAAAGGGTCTAGGGACCTAAAAAGGGTTTCGAATCCCTACTTGAGACATCCAGATGTCTTCTCTGTAGGTTAGCATTTCCCAGCCTACAGGCCTAGGACCACCTGCATCAGAATTACCTGGAACGCCTATATACAGGCAAGTTCTTGGCCTCCAGCCAAAGCTCCTGGGTCAGTCTTTCAGGGGTGGGGTCTTGGAAGTTGTTTTGGGAATACTGATTATGATGCATACCCAAATAAAAGAACCGTGTTTCTGAGTTCATGTGTCTATAGCAATCAGCTCATAAATAGGGGATTAATGTTAAAGTGGGGGCAGTGTGCGCTGGTCTCTTGTATCTCTCTTTGGGAGAGAACCCCAGATGTAAGCTGTTTTGGTTGGTGGGGAGGGGACTGAAGTCCTGTTGGGATGTGTCCCCACCCCCTTTTGTGGCACTGATTGAACTAGAATGTCCAGGGGGAGGGCAGCAGTTCTGGCCCAGGGCTGGGGCAGGCCAGCCAGCCAAAGACAGAGGTGTGGTTTTGGTCTGAGCATTCTATGACTGAGTTAATCCCTCCATGACATTCCATCTCAAATCCTGCAGCCTCCCATCTCTCCAGACAAACCAGTCGCAGGATCTTGCCTGGGCCCTAAGGCTGACGTGTCTGTTCCTTCTCTCTTGGCCTGAGCCCACCTGGCCACCTCCCTTGAAGACAATGGTAGATTTTGGAACAGAAATAACCCAGAAGGCCTCTATCTCAACCTGCCAATCCCTGGCTTTACTCCTCCTCCATCTTCTCCCGAATCTCTGCCGGCAGGCCCTCATAAAGGGTGTCCTCCACCAGGAGCCCCACCTTCTTGAGTCCTCCACAGTTGCCCAGTTCTTCTGGCAGTGCCTCCAACCGGTTGCCCTTAAGCTCCAGGCGGCTGAGGGCCCTGAGGGCCCCTACCTGGGGTGACAGGTGACTCAGGTGGTTGTAGCCCAGCAGCAATGTCCGCAGCTTGCAGCAGAAGAAGATCTCGTCAGGCAGGGCCTCCAGAGCATTGTAAGAGAGAGCCAAGTGCTGCAGGTTCTGGAGCAGACCTAGCTCGGGGGGCAGGGAACGCAGCCCATTGTGGGAGACGTCCAGCAGACGGAGGCCAGAGCACATGCCCAGCTGGGTGGGCAGGGCCTCTAGCTTGTTGTGGCTGAGGTAGAGCTGCTCCAGGACCCGGAGCTTACGCACATGCTCAGGGACGTAAGCTATCTGGTTGTGCCACAGCCTGAGAGTGACCAGCTTGCGACAGTGCTGGAAGCTGAGAATCTCCTCAATGGACCGCAGGTGGTTGTCCTTGAGGTCAAGTTCCTGCAGTGCGCCCAAGCTGAAGACGGCATGAGGGATGCGCTCCAGCCCACAGGCCACCAGTTCCAGCTCTCGCAGCACCGCCAGCTTCTTGAGGCTGTTAAGGGCCAGCAGGCGGGCCCCGTCATTGTGCAGGCTGAGCCGCTGCAGGTGGCTGGCCACATCAGTCACACTGGCTGGGACCTTGCCGGCATTGCTCCGCAGAGACAACACCTTGAGCTGCTTCAGCTCCCGGAGGCTCTCGAGGGTGGCCGCCCGAGCCAGCTCTGGGGGAAAAAGTCCCTCAAGGTGTAGCTCCTCCAGGCCACGCAGCCCAAACACCCAGAGGGGCACTTCGCGGAGCTCCTCACACTTGATGCGAATGACCTTCAGGCGGTCCCGCAGGAAGATCTGCGAGGAGAAGGGCAGCCTGGCAGGAGAGTGGAGCAAGCTGAGCTCCTGCAGGTGCACCAGCTGTGACAGAGCCGGGGGGAAGGTGATATCACCGATGGCCTCCAGCCGGAGTGCCTCTACCTCGCTGAGCTCGAAGACGGTGTCAGGCAGTCCTGGGAGCATGCAGAGGGCCAGCTCCAGCTGGCCCTTGGCATTGCGCTGCAGCTTCTGACGAAGCTTCTCGGGCGTCCACTCATGGTTGAGGTTGAGCTGCTTCAGGCGGCTCTCGCTGACCTCAGAAAGGAAGACAGCAAAGCGCTTGGAGTACAGTGGGTCATACTGGTCGATGAGGTGTAGCATGAAGGCAAAGTCGTTCTTGACGTCGGGGATGTCACCCATGCCAGTGTCCTCCCGAACGGAACGGAAGGAGTATTCCTTGAGGGGCCGGTGGAAGAGCCAGTAGAGTGTATAGAGGCAGGTGATGCCGTAAACACACACGAATGAGATGTAGCAGAAAGCCAGCTTGGAGAAGAGGTGGGCCTTGGTGTGGTTGCAGCAGAAGCTGGCATAGCCCGTGAACCTTGAAGTTTCTACCGTGCAGGTCACCACAAAGCTGATCTTCTCCACATAGATGAGGTTGTAGACCAGGATGGCAAAGAACTTGCAGACTTTGAGCACCATTTGCCGGATATACATGGTGTATAAAATGTCCCCCTCCTCCACGTGCACGCGGAACTTCCTCACCTTTTCAAACAGGGCTTTGGCCTGCTCGCCTTCCTTCTTGTCCAACAGGGTGACAACTGGCGGCTCACTCACCACCTTCTCAGGCTCTGCCGCCACCTTCCCCTTCTCGCCCTCCCCTGCCTTCCCCAGCCCTGCCCCAGCTTCCATAGTCGCTGTTGCCCGTCCAGTGGAATGGCCCTTACGGTTCTCCCCAGAAACCTCAGAAAGGGCCCGGGTGGTCCACGGCGAGTCAAAACACTTGCCCAGGATGGAGGTGAAGTGCTCGATCTTGGAGCTGGTACCAGGGAACTTGAACCAGAAGCTGGTGCAGACCATGAAGATGAGCGTGTGAATGACGACCAGGTAGGGGAAGTACTTGGGGTACCAGTGGAGGGCCTCCTCGTAGCAGAGCTGGTTAATGAAGCTGTACTGCTGCAGGTCCAGATTGTTCTTGAGGCCGCTCACCTCCTGGAGCCCCTCCATCTGCTCAGAGAGCCCCTGCAGCAGCAGTTGCCGACATGGGGCCTCAGACAAGTTCTCCCGGGGTTCATGACTGGGCAGACAGATGATCTTGTCCTGTGTCACCTGGTGATGGGGGAAAGGGGGACAGAGGGTGAGGGAACTGGGGAACTGGGAGAAAAGGAGGCTGCGATGGGAGGTTCCAATCCCTGACTGTCCCCAGCCAGCTGTGACTTTGGTAGTCACTAAACCTGAGCATTGGTTTTTGTGTGAAAAAAAGAGTCAGGTTGAATTGTGTCCCCCTAAAAGATGTTGAAGTTCTAACCCCCAATAGCTGTGAATGTTTGGATATAGTCTTTGCAGAGCAGATGTAATCAGTCAAGATGAGGTTATCAGGACGAGCTATAAACCAATATAACTGTGACCTTTTAGAAAGGGGGAAATCTGGACCCAGACACACACACATTGAGAGAAGATGCTATGAAGTTAGAGGGAGAACATCTATAAACCCAGTGCTCGAGGCCACCTAGGAGTAGCGTGGAACAGATTCTCACTGACAGCCCTGGGAAGAAACCAGCCCTACCCACACTGATTTCAGACTTCTATAGTCTCCAGGACTGTAAGACAATAAATTTGTTTAAGTCACCCAATTTGTGATACTTTGTTATTGACAGCCCTAGTAAACGAATAAGGTGACTGTAGGTCTTCCTAGGTTCCAGGGACAAAAGTATCATAGAAGTATGAACTACTATGGCTATGCGCAGAACTTTGGTACTGTTGCCGGTGGTGGCGGGAATGAGGAGGGTTCAGAACTGGTCTGCGAGTGTAGAAAACTGGGGCTTTCCCTTCCTTGGATAACAGGAAGACTTCCGCAATTCCCCAGGTCCCGCCCCCACAGACCACGCCCTCCAAAGCCCTCCCCTCCGCCAAGCCCTGCCCCTATGCAGACCTCACCTCTCCAGCCCCTCATTCAGGCCCTGCTCCCTGCAGGCCCCGCCCCTGCTGCTTCCGCCTGATCCGGGCCCCGTCCCTTGCTTAGCCCCTTACCTGGAGGGTGCAGCCGAAGACCCCGATCATGAGCATAGCCACCGTGAGGTACTCGGCCAGCACGTCCCACCAGGGTTTGAGCAACTTGAAAGCTGGCTGCTGCTCGGAGAACTGCTTGAACTCAGCCACCGGAATCATTCTGACTGTGGGAGGGGAGGAGGCGGGGGTGCAGAGACTCTCAGGCAGAGGCGCCTGGTGGTGGGCCCCCTTGGAACCAGACGCGCGCCTCTGCTCCTGATGCGAGTTCCCCTGTGCCAAAATCTGTCAGAACCCAGGAGCTGTGTGTCCCCTTCCCCTCTCTCCCAGATTTCACCTTCCAGGAGCCCAGCGACTACTGTTCTCACCACTTCTGCTCCTCTGCCCCAATGTGAAGCTGCCTGCCCTCTCAGAGCTCAGGAGTGGCTGTCCACCAGCTAGCCCCGGTGGCCTTCTCCTGGAACCCAAGCATCCCCTCCCACCCTTGATGCACACGGAGTCCAAAACACTCCCTCTGCTACTCTCCCGACTCCGGACAGTGTCCAGGTGTCCAGTCCCAGCTCTCTCCCTCACTGGAACGGAGGATGTCCCAAGGTTCAGGACTTCCTGGGCCGCCTGCCACCCCCCTGTAGGGTGCTTGGGGCAGCACCTCCAACTTCCAACCGGAAAAGCAAGCTGGAGTCTGGCTCTGGTTACAGGCCCCAGGGTCAGGGAGTGGCAAAACCGAAAGTTGGTCAGCGTGGGTGAGGGGTGGGGCTAGGGGTGTATGACCAGGACACCTGGTTTTCTAGAGGGGCTGGTGCCCAGAATCAAAGGCAGAAAACAGACACCTGGGATCTGAGAGGCAGGGACAGGGAGGTGCCAAGGTGGGCGAGGCTGTGGCAGAGGATCAGGAAATGAGAAATTTGGGGAGAGAAAACCAGGGTGACACCTACAACTGGGACAGGGCTGGGCTGCCAGGCTCCTGGGCAGCTGGCCCACTGTCTGTCCCTGGGTTTCACTTTAGACCAAGGTATCATTATTCTAGATGCAGATGGCAGACACAAGTCAAACAGTAGTTTGGGCCACAAGCTGGGACCTGGGAGCCTCCCTCTTCCTCTCTCCTCAAGGCTGGAAGTGGAAGGAGTGGGAGGCAGGAAGGCCCCTATAGCCTCGGGGCTGGGGAGGGGGGCTCCTAGGCCAGCCGCCCCTCCCGGCATCTATGGTCCCCAATCCACAGCTCTCATTTTCTCGCAAAGGGTTTCCTGGAATCTGCTGTCCTAATCCTGATAGTGTGTCACTGGGTGCAGACTGGGTGAGGAAGGGAGCATCTGGGCTGCCAGCCGGTCCTCCAGCCCTCCACGCATTTCCGAGGGGGGAACCTTATCTCTGTCCCACATCTCAGCCAATTGCTCTGATACATCCACACCTCCCTTTTCAGTCCCCTCTTCCCTTGAAAGCCTCCGTGTGACTCCTGGGTGAGGACTAGGTGGGAGTGGATGAGGCCCCACCCACTTAATCCTACTTTATACTGGGATGGGGATGGGTTTGAAAGGGGCAGGCTCACGCCTGCCCACACTGGGACTCCTGGGCTCCCTGACTCAGGCCCTGACTCAGCCAGCGCCAGGAACATAAAAGGTGGTGCAGAGAACACAAGATCCCTTATAAAATGACCCATCTCCTCATGCCCAGCTTTACACCGTCCTAAACAAAAAGCCAAGTAAAAATGCCCAGTGCATCCCCGTCAGTCTCAGTCACCAGGGAATGTGACAGAAATGCATCCAGGGCATCTGAACAGCCCCCAGAGGCTGAAGGTACATTGCAGCCACTGAAAGAGACACCTGGGGGCATTCTGAAGTGTGCACATTGGTACATGTGGGCATAAGTGCAAGTACACATAAGTGGAGTGAGGGGAGACCCGGGACCAGGGAGCCACCACATGCATACCTGGCCACCCACTGTCCCCCCTGCCCTGGCTACCTGTCCCTACAACGGACGCTGCTCAGCTGTTTAACCTAAGAACAGTAACTCTGGGGGCTGCAGCAGAAATGTCACACATAGTTTGGGACTAACTTCCTGCCTAAGTCCCTGCCGCTCTTCTGGACCCATCTCACAATGGTGGAAGCTCCCCCATCTGCCATCTCCAGTCCACGATCAAAGGCAAGAAAGCGGAGACCGCCCCCCCCAAGGTCCCCAACAGATGGCCCAGTGGCTCCCATGGAACAAAGTGCATACACAACACCATCAGAGGCAGACACGGGGGGTTATCATTATGTGTCTCCATGACTCAAACGTGATTGTTGGAACCTGCTATTAAGATTCCGCAGACACAGGCTGGCCCCTTTGTCTGAGCAGGGCTAGTGGGGAGGTCTGGAAAAAAAAGACTTTCAGGATGAGGGAGGACCCTAAAAAAAACGATGGGACCACACATGCAACTTAGAGCTACCAGACGGTTTCAATGCCTTGTTTTATCCCGACTCAGTGAGCATGGGTGATGGAACCTTTTTTTCCCCTAGACTCAGAGGGAGAGGAATAACTTGCTCAAGGTTTCGCAGCTCCAAATGGCATTTGAGGCACGACCCCCAAGTCCCCCACCTGTTTGATTGTATCTACTCTGTTCCATTTGGGGAGAAAACCTCTCGCTGAGACCAGCATCTTTGTCAAAAGAACCTCAGTGCAGGGTTCCAGCAGGGGAGAGATGGGGGGATGGCTGCTCCGTAAAGCAGGCTGGAGAGGGGTCTCTGTCAGCCTAGGACCAGGCACATGCCATCTACCCAGCCTTAGCTCTGCCCATCCATGCCTGACCTTGCTTCTCCTCTGTCAGGCCCTCCCGGAGCCCCCAGCTTGCCTGCAAAAACAGGGTGGTGGTGGATGTTCTTGGTCCAGCCCCTGCCCCCAACCACAGCCCATTCTAAGGTGCGAGGGAGACTCAGGGGCAGTTGTCAGCCCCGGATCAGGCTCTGGAGGGCACAAAGTCTAAACTTAGACTTTTACAAAAGGGAGAAACTGAGCCCTGGGTGGAGGAGGGTTATCCTTTAGTAGCAGATCTTGGGGTAGACCCCGCACCTGGGGACACCCAACCTACTACTTTTCCAAGCTGTTCTGACAGGACTTGGGGGTCTTGGGGGAGGCTTGAGGTTCAAAAGTCCCAGAGGGCGCATGCCTGGGGAGAACCCCAAGTGGTGGTTCTGGGGCCTTGAGGGGCTTACAGAGATGAGTTATCTCTGTTGTCTTGGCGGCCAAGGAGAGGGGAACATGATCAAGGTCCCCGGGGTCGCTCCCAGAGTGTTGATCTTCACTCGGTCCTCGGCCCCTGCACAGCGCCCTTAGCCTGGCCAGGGCCTATCCTCTCTCTGTCGCCACCCCCTCCCCAGTTCCCAGCTCCCGTGTGCCAGCCACAGTGCCAGCCGCACCTGGAGAGGCCCTCCCGTGGGCCCGACCCCCACCCCGCCGCCTGGTCCCCAGGAGCGGAGAGCTACTCACTCACCTCTCAGGGCTGACGCTGGGCCCAACTCGTGGGTCCCTGGGAGTGAAGCGGCCGGGACTCCTGAGAAGTTAGTTCCCGGACCAGGCTGGGTGAGTCAGGGCGGGCGGGACGGGAGCCGGGAGCCGCCCCGCCCCGCCCACCTGACGTCTGGGTCCTGCCTACCTCCTTGCGCTCCCAGGTGGCCCCGGACTCCTGGCGCCCTGGGATCTCTGGAGGAGGGCAACTCTAATCCTGCTCTTCCAGAGGTGGGGCCAGGGACCGGCCACAGGAGTAGGAGCCTTGAAGTCTTGGCTTGGCTGCCGTCGGGCGGGACCCGGCCTGGGGCGTACTGAGAGGCATCCGAGGCACTGCACACCCAAAGTCAGCCTGCGGGCGCTCTTCTGGAATCCAGGCTTGTATAGACCGGTCGAAAAGCGTGGAACTGCCGCCTCCTCCCCCACCCCAAGGTGCAACCACCTGGTTTTGAGGCTCAACCAAGAACCCGCAACCAAGGTCCAGGGTCTGGAGCAGGAGGGGTTCTAACCCCCTTCCTTCTCTGAACACCCATACAGGAAGTTAGGCAGAGTGGGGACGCTGCCTGTCTGACCGTGCCCAGCCTTGAGGCTGGCCCTCCATTGGGGAAAGACGGGAAGTGAGCTGCTCCCAGGTCCTTGGGGATGGGGGGTGGGGTGCAGGGGACAGAGGGCTCTGGGAGCTGGGCTCGAGCCCAGTCTGGGAGGCGGGCTTCTAGACAGGATGACACTGCCTCCCCACCCCATTCTTTTCTCCCCCATGCCCACCCTTTCCTTTCTACGGAGGGAGGTCTGGGTTGGGTCTTAGACTAGCCAATTGCCCAATTCAGCTGGGAGGTATGTGCGGTTGAACCTTGATCTGCTTTGTCTACAAAACAAGGAGATTTAGCCTAGAGCGAGAGAGTGAGACTCCTCCCTCACTGGGACAAAGAAGCCCTAGAGTTTGCCAGATTAGAGACCTCCTAAGACCTGAAACCTTGGCGTCTGGGATTCCCTAAGCTTAGATTCCTCTGTTGAAACTCTGCGTGCCACCCTCTAGGACTCAACCTATGTGAAGTCCTGGGCTCCCTCTGAGGAAGAGCCACGTGAGACAGATAATGTCTCCCTCTCCTTCGGTGGCCTCTTCCTGCCTCCAGATAGCTTCTTGGTACTCATGGCCTGGGGTTCGTTTCCAGCTTTGTTCCAGAATGAGCATCCAGCTTGGCACACTTGTGCAACAGTGTGAGGCCACTGGGCTGGAAGCCCCATGAGCCCCAGGCATAGATGGGTCTCTTCTGCTCCCTGCTGTGTCCTCAGCACTTGGAATGGTGCCAAGCACATGGTCATGGGCATTTGGTTAATGATGAATGAGTGGATGATTGAAGTGTCATATTAATTCTGGCTCTTCTAGTTGCAGACCCTGAGAAAAGGGATTGGATGCAAATAGTTCATCTAGAAGGTGACCTCAGCAAGCACTAACGGTGGGGCAGTGGGGAGATGAGACTGAGAAGGGAAGGGAGTCAGAAAGCCTTGATGAGGGTGAGCCAATGAGGGTGAATGAGCTGGTTTCCACTGTGGGCAACTGAGGCTTCATTCTTCTGAGGAGCTCTGGGGAATGGTGAGGGCGAGGGAGTTAAAGTATTGATGCACCGGGTCTCGTCCGTCTTGACTGAGGGATGCTCTGGAGAAGAGGGATATAGGGGTGTTAACTCCATTAACTCCATGACCCTTCCCTGACCGTGGATGCTCAGGTTATATGGAGGGGGCACTCAGGAATCTGCCGCAGGTACAGACACTTGAGTGGAATGGCTGGGTCGTAGGGCAGACAATATACACAATGCTTCCCCGTTGTCTAGAAAGACTGCCCTTTATGTTTCCATTGGTAAGGTGTGAGTTTTCCCACATCGATAATACCGACTTTTTAAAAATTGTGGTAAAATACATATAAACAGAATTTACCCTCTTAACCATTTTTAAGTGTAGAGTTTAAGTACATTCGTAAGTACATTCATAATGTTCTGCATTAAGTACATTCATAATGTTCTGCAACCATCCTCACCATCCATTTCCAGATTTT